TACCTGGTATTCATCTCCGTCTAATGTTCTCACTATCACAACGTCTTCTTGTTGACTAATAGAAACGGTTGGCTTGTTCAGAAGAACTCGATCTGCTCGCAGAGAAACAACACGTAAATATTTAACGTTTCAACATCGTATTTAAAGTATACGTAATTTAGCGTAATTTATCAACAAGGAAGTGTAAAATTCGTATCAAAATATATTTTTTAGGCTTTGTTTCCTTAAATATTGAAAGTCGTAGTGAAGAACTAACCCGAAAGGAATAGCATGTCAATATTTTGGTGTTTCTTTCATTTTAAAAAAGACATATATATATATGCATAAACAGTGTAATTGGCTCATATAATATTCTAAACGTTTAGTTTATGGTTAATTAATGTTTTCTTAATACTTCTGCAGCTTTTTGTCATACACAATAAACATTGTTCAAATATGCTTGTGACTCTCTCTTTTTCTAAAGCTGAAATACTTAATAACTAAAAATTTTATAATTGATAAATTATAGTATGTTAAAATGTCATTATTTTTTCTCATATATAAGTATTCTTCGGTACCAACTAACATACCTCCTAAACGTTTTGCAATATTCTCACTAATCTGCTGAGTTCCACCAACGAATTTTCTCTCCTAGACAAAAAATAATATATTAGTGAATCTGTTTTACAGTTTACAGTAATTGTATTTATGATCAAATTTATTTGCAAGTTATTTATTTGTTTATATCATAGGAAATCAAATGTAATAACGACCATCCTGTAGACAAGATTTAGTTATATTTTAACATACTTGGCCACCGTTTGTTGTTGATGCAATCCTGTTTATGCCCCCGCATTGTTTGACGTACCATAAAAACCACAAGAGTGATGATTCGTAAGGTTCGGTTGCTACTATGATTCCAGACAAAACAGAAGGTAAACTTTGAGCTGCCCTATGGCGAAATAAAAATAAAACAAACCAAAACCTTAGCTTTTATCTATGTTTTTTTTATAAGCACTATTTTTATATAAATCATGAAAATTGTTTTTTAAATCACAAAAATTAATTGAATATTTTTGGATTACTTTGTTGAAAAGAGGGAATCCAATGTTAATGACAGGTGTCATATATGGTAACGAACTAATAAATTTGAGTGAGATATAAGGGTTATAAAGAAAAAAAGTTGTTTCAAGAATATTACACGTATACATATCTTATTGTATTGTGTTACGTTACGAGACTTTATTTGAAAATTAACCTGAATTTAGTCCTAACGTACTGTCACTCAGACAGCATGAAGAATATGTTATTACCGTTAAACGTATCCTTCGATAACACAGGCCTGCGATGGTTTTATTGTCTTGAAATTTTTACATGTTCTACTTTAATTTCTGTACGCTGAATCCGAAAATGATATCCATCTTTTCCATCACGTACATATATTTCACAAAACGTCATAATGCAATACGTAAAAGAAAGACCACAACACGTAGTTTTGAGACTAAAAGACGTAGATTTCATACACAAAAATCAGGATGAATGAGGATGCATGTTTGTTCGACATCAATGTTCTTCCATTTTCTTTAGCTTGTTTATATTTTTGTTAACAAACATAATAATAAAAAATATTTATTGTGGTAAACAAAATAATAATTTGATCTAAGTAACAATTTTTTCTTCTTCCCGATTTGTAAAAAAATCCTTACGTGATAAAAAAATGAATATTATTTTCGAAATCTGCGTAGCTGAATTATGGAAAATCCGTTATTAAAACCAAAGCATCTTTTATAAAGTTTAAATTCGCAGGCCCGTGTAATCGCTAAGACTTTCTTATTGAATATTATAAAGATGGTGACTAAAACGCATGCATTTTGAAACAAAATACTAGAACTGTATACAAGAAAGAGAAGTGGTTATCATTACTTTGTAAAACAAGTTTCCTCCATAAATTGTCGAACAGTCATTCTATCCCACTTCTCAGCGTTAGGGGCTTTCCAAGGAGCAACTGCTGGAATCTATGTAGACATTATTTGAAAAACGATAAATCTGTTTGTTTGTATATTTCTTAATAAAATATTACCAGTACTTTCTGGGATTCATACATTATTCAAAGCCTTATTGGGGAGTAAAGTTTAACGACAGTGATGAAATGAAAACAGTTATGTATATATATATATTGACTTTCCTACTCTGAATGTAAGAATTTTCATAAATTTCACTAGTTGTTCAAATGGGTAATCTACTCGACATGATCATGATTCGAACTAACTGTTACAGAGGTCTTTTTATGTTATAGTCATAGCTCGTTGACTACTTATTAAATACTTTTGTTGGTTGGTTGTTAAGCACAAAGCTACACAATGGGCTAACTTGTGCCTACCACGAGTATTGAAACCCGGTCTCTAGTGTTATAAGACTCCAGACTCTCCGCTCCAAATAACTAACTCCTGAAGATCTAGAAGACTGTCAAAGCTATATATATATATATATATATTTCTAGCCTAAAATTATCACGCTAGAAATATTTTAATAAATTTCCAGAGATTATACAGTAACGTTCAGATTTACAAGAATCCACATGACCGTACCTACAACAGCTCTCAGCAAGTACTCTTACACAAAACATCGTATTATATCACAATTACAATTATTTCTAAAATAACAATATTACTAAAGTGAAATCTCAGTGCGTAAAAAGTATATTGACAATTGTTAAATTTTGTAATTATTCATTGAATCATCAAACTTACTTTACACAGTCTTCAATTTAATTGTACAAAAATGATTGGTGGGTCACTCATCATTGATTTATAACCAGTAAGACCTCATGATTTTGCGAAATTCTCATTCAGTCCTTGATTCCTTGTTCCCCTCCGTTCAATTAGGTTACGTCTGTACATTGCCTATATGTTTCCTTTATTTTTTCTAACACAGCCTCTCCATAATCAATCATAGTAAACAAGCTTTGGCTAATAAGTATGTTCTTGCAGGTATAGTGCAATACTTATATAACTTGTGAAGATATATTAGATTTTCTTTGGTTTATATAACCATACCATATGATACAATAAAGCCCAAGTTTGTTAGCATCTACATGTGTTAATCCGTTCTTCATTTCATATGTTAGCTTCAGCTTTTCATCAGTAAACTCATTAATGTCAGTGGTATTAATCAAACAGATGTTACAATTTGTCCAGATTTGCATAAGTTACCTTCATCACAATACCATCTCTGTTTCACTTAACATGAGTAATACTGGATTGATAAGAATAGATTCATGTGCTATAAATCTATAAACCATAGGCAGAAATGGTAAATTTCAGTTCACTTCTCCTGTCTTTTATACACACGCGTAACTGATTTGTTTAACATCATGCTGGTCAAGCAACGTGTCTGTATGAAAAATAGAGTGTAAGTATCCTTATTTCTATTTCTATATATATATATATATAGAAATCTATCTATATTTTATATGCTAACTCACCAAAGTCTATATATTTTGGCAGATTGTACTTATTCCAAGTTCTGTTGTTCATCAGAGTAAAGTTATATGGGTATTTCAGACATTAATAGAAGCCAATTTACCAATGTGCTGGTGTTTCAGCTTTTTACTCTGGTATAGCAGTCACTTCTGTCCACTCAGTAAATTCATACATTATCATAAAAAATAATAAACGTGAAGCCCTTTAAACCATTCAATTTACAACATGTCACTGAGTTATATCGGTTCCTGGGTATTCCTTCCCTTTCCAGGCTTCTTAAAATGGTGATGTGAGATGTCTTTTACTCACATGGTTGATACATATAATATATTAACATGATGCACTTGTTACCGTTATTTTTGTGACAATGGATTCGGGACATCAACAGCTACACCTTATTCTACAAGATTTAGTGTTTTATTCAACTACGTATTGTTGTGGAGCTTCTTTTATAACATAGGCCATTATGTTTTAATTAATGTGCTTCAAAATCATTATTTTCATTGTCAAGAAGTGATATCTGATATAATTATTATTTTACTGCCATAATTGAAAAACAAATGTTATAATCTAATGTAGATATTTCAGGTAATTTAAATAACCATGTGTTATAATGCCTATATCACTGCTCGTAGCCTGCAGGAAGGTATCTAAAGTTTGACAGAATATACATGAGCTTCGTTCATTTTTCAAATTCGCTTCATATATATCCTGGACTTGGGACCAGGCAATGGTGGTGTCATCCCTGCCGGGGAACGAACCCGGTACCAACGCGCTATCCACTGCGCTATAGGGACACTGAGATTATCAATAAAGGTCTCTAATTACCACGCCAGCATTATAATCACACCCACAAACTATGGGCATGCCTATTGGAAAAACGTTTTAGATACCTTCTTGTAGGCCACAAGCAGTGATATAGACAATTTTAGATTTTTTTGTGTTATTCACGATTTTTCTTGTGTCAAAATTGGCCATGTTGGGATTTCGTGGCGGAGACATGCATTTGCCCGCGATTGTTGGGTTCTTTAATTGATTTTACCTTCTTCGAGGTCTTTCTTGTTTAGCTGTAGGTTATATATCTGAGTGTCGAATTTGTGCTTTTAAGTTTTGGTTTATTTTATTCATTTGTTACACGTTTTTATATCATATAAGTAAATCACAAAAAGGCTTCTTTTTTTTCAAGTCCTTCAGTATTTGTTATACAACTTTTGTTTTGAAGACTTAACTCTAGTCTGTTGACAATAATTATTATATTCTCTGTCATAACATTCATTCTACTCAAGGTTAAAATGCTTTAATTCTTCACCTATTTACACTTTTCCTTCCGAGATACTATCGAATGATATCCAAATCTTTATTAAGAATAAAAAACATTTGGCACAACAAAACGTAAACTCTTTATTATTAGTTACAACCGACTAGTTTCAGTAACTGTTACCATCGTCAGTGCTATTGACTACATAAGCGTTAGCTTAGCCCTGATGATGGTAACTGTGTTACCAAAACTAGTCAGCTGTAACTAATAATAATGAGTTTACCTTTCATTATCAAACGTCGATTTGTTATTTTTTTTACTCTTTATATATTCACACAACGTGCCTGAAAATACAATATTTACAATCTTACAGCAAATTATGAACTAGTAAGTGCAGGTCTTGTAAGCGGATTTACTTAGTATTAGCAATTGGCTATATCCAACGTAATAAGTTATAGGAGTCCCACTTCTTTTAGGACATAACATCCTGTAACCCATTTCATTAACAAAACAGTAATTTTGAATTAATCATAATTTTACTTTTGTTTCGAGTTTGCTTACTGAATATAAGTTATTTTATTACAAGTTACAGCTTGTATAGTAAGGAAAAATACTATTTAGAACAGGTACGACAAGTCTTAAAGGTAAAAAACTTGTGTGCTTGAGAATGATCGCACCAGTGATCGAAACATCGTACCTGTTCTAAAACCAAATATTTTTTACTGTGAAAGATATAACTTGTAATAATATAATAGTTATAACTTTGGCTAAATACGCTAACAGAACGTAAATATATTTTGGGTTTAGATAATTCATAATTTTTTTAGCACCTTTCTGCTTATTTAAACTATGGTTAATCAAAGTGTGCAGCGAACTACAAATTTTGGGATATTATTGAAACAGCTTATTCTAAGTAATGTAGCATAGAAATATTTTAAAGTTATGTTGTTACATTTCTGTCAATCTAAGCTGAACTTGTACCTGAAGACCAATCTTATAACATACAGTTATAAGAAATACCAACAAAAGTAACATTACAAAACAATCCCAAAACCTTTAAAACTGTGATATGTATACTGTAATAAAGTGAAAATATTGTATAACAAAATAAACTTGTCCCTCCTTCTTTCTGGTTATTTTATACATACCTAGTTAGGTGTTAGTATTCTGTGTAAAGACAAATTAAGGTTTTTATCTATATCCATAGAATAATTATCACTAGAGCTTATTACACTGAACAAATATAATTACCTCCTCTCCCATTTTATCGATAGTACGCCAAACATGGTTCAGGTCTAGATTAACCAGGGGGTTCCAGAACCTTGGAAGTGCGTCAACAGAATTGAATCTTTTCTGGGATCCCTGTTTGAATAAGAAATAATTTTATTTTAAGTCATAATAAAAATAAAGTTTGGCTTACCATAGTTCCATATCAACTGGAAGCTATTCAAAAATAAATTTAAATTATATACATCTATTAGTTTTGTATTGTTCTTATACAATATTGGAAATAACTATGGAAACATACAAGTAATAAACATACACGTGTTACGAACAACGAGTAACTGAAACTAAATAGGCAAGTTATCTTCGGTATAATATATTATTACAGAAAATACAAAAGAAAGACGAATAAATTGTACAGTGCGTAATTATTTTCTATTTGTCATAAACATACCAGTACACCTTGTTTTATGCTATTACAGCTTTATCTGTCTATGACTGAAATACTGTTCCACACCATTTGTTTGGTACCTTTTAACCATCTCAGGTTTCATATAATACCATGAAACCTTAACAACATTCATATAATACCACGAAACCTTAATAACACTCATATAATACCACGAAACCTTAATAACATTCATATAATACCATAAAACCTTAATAACATTCATATGATACCATAAACCCTTAATAACATTCATATAATACCATAAAACCTTAATAACATTCATATGATACCATAAACCCTTAATAACATTCATATGATACCATAAACCCTTAATAACATTCATATAATACCATAAAACCTTAATAACATTCATATAATACCATAAAACCTTAATAACATTCATATTCTCAAAGCCCCAAAACTCTATACATGTTCTTCTACACCTGTATTAGAAACGAATAATTTTCCTTAGTTCCTGCCACTAGGGTTTTTACTCTCTCCACTACATTCTTAAATTTGCATCTGACAAACGAATTCCACGGCGTATTTCACACAAAAACTAAATACAAAAAATTGTATAGTTAACTAGAGAATGCCCAACTGCTCGAAGTCATTTTCTTTACCACCTTTATCAACAATTAGGAGTTTTAATGTACTTGAAACAATTATCTGTACTGGACTTAGACGTGCTTTTTAAGCCTACAGTTCTTCCATTGCAGATTTAAAAAATCCCAGTATTCATCTCCCTATCAAGACTAATCTTTACCTTAAGATTTTACAATATCCTTTTTATGCTATCAACTTTCCATCCAACCTCGATATGTTCTGCAATACTATCATTTCTGGATAGTATTTGTTTGTTCGTGTACTTTGATATTATTTTTTTCTTTTCAATATTACTTATTCGTGGCTATGGCAACAAGAGGTTGTGTAAATGACCCAAACCTATTCTGTTATATTTGTGGTAAAGAAACAAAGGCAAAACATTACATAATTCGTCATAAAACGTATTGCATGTATTTTGGAATAACATTTGGGGACCAAAACAAGTCATGGACTCCGCACAAAGTTTGCACCATTTGTGTCGAAGAGTTGAGACAATGGACTAAACGTAAGAAAAGGTCTTTGCCTTTTGGAATTCCAATGGTCTGGCGTGAGCCTATAACCACGGAGATGACTACTATTTTTGCTCATGTAACGTGCAAGGCTACGACACTCGAAATAAAAAGGATATTTCTTATCCGAACCTTCAATCTGTTATAAAACTTGTTGCTCATGGACCTGATGTATCTATACCTACTCCACCGGAGACTCTTGATACAGTTTCATCTGATTCTGAATCTGATGTCAATAGAAATGATGATAGGGATTGTTTTCAATTTGAAACGTCTGGAGAACCATAACTTTTCACACAAGGCGAACTTAATGATTTGGTAAGAGATTTGGGCCTTCCAAAGGATTCTTCAGAGATTTTGTGGTCCAGGCTTCGGACTATGAACTTACTCTCTCCAGGGACATCAGTTTACTGGTACATAGATCGTGAGAAAGAGTTTATACCATACCTTCTGTAAGAAGATTCATTGGTTTATTGCAACAATATTGCTGAATTAATTCCTCCAAAAGAAGTCTAAAAGTAACAACAGTAACATATATCCATCTGTTCCTATTGCTCATTCGGTTCACTTGAAGGAAACGTACAAAAATCTTGAACTTCTTAATAACGTTAAATACAAAGAACATGGTTGTCTACTTTGTGGAGACTTAAAAGTTCTTTGTATGTTGTTGGGTCAACAGTCCGGTTATACAAAGTTTCCATGTTTTTTGTGTGAATAGGACAGCAGAGCACGAAATCAGCACTGAATAAAGAAGCAATGGCCACGCAGAATCAGCCTGATACCAGGATCGAAAAACATTGAACGTGAAAGTTTGGTTGACACAAAGAAAGTCCTATTACCTCCACTTCACATAAAACTAGAGTTGATGAAGCAGTTTGTAAAGGCGTTAGACAAAGATGGCGACAGAAAGAAATGAACTTTCAAGCTCATATTACAACCCAACTCTTTGAATTTATCGAGCATGTTATTGACAATATTCTCGTAATTTGGGCCCGTGTTGTTTCTTAAAAAATTACCAATAACATCTTTAACGGCAATCCACGCTTCTTTTTCAGCTTTCCTCATTGTTCTTTCGAACTGTTCATCCGAAGTCAATTTCCTAATTTGAGGTTCAACAAAAATCCCTTCTTTAAGTTTCGCTTCTGAAAGAGCTGGGAATTGCCCACATAGATACTTAAAACACTCATATATTGACTGTTTCCCGTCAGCGAAAAACAAGGGGAAAGGTTTCACATCAAGACATCAGAGAAATGGAGAAAAGGTATCAGGAAAGGTGGAACATCAGTATGATGGATGATTACTGCTGGTCATTGAAACGAGATGCTCCAGGTGCAATACATAAAAGAAAGACCAAAAGACGTAGATTTAAAAAAAATCAGGATGAACAAGGATGCATATTCGTTTGGAATCAATGTTCTTCTCTTTTCTTCAGTTTGTTTGTATTTTTGTTAACAAACGTAATAATAAAACATGTTCATTGTGGTAAACTAATTAATTATTTAATCTAAGTAAGAGTTTTTCTTCTTCCCTATTTGTAAAAATTTTTTACGGGATAAAAAGTGAATATTATTTTCGAAATTTGCGTAGCTGAATTATGGAAAATCTATTATTAAAACCAAAACAACTTTCGTGAAGTTTAAATTCGCAGACCTGTGTTACATTATGAGACATATTAGTACGTTTGATTATTCCGAGTCATAAATATAATACTATACGTTTATGTAAATATCATAAATTACCTTTTCATAAAACACCAAGTCCTCTTCTTCGTTTACTTTATATGTTTCAACACCGAATTCTTTAGCCAACCGCAACAACCGGTTCTGAGTGGGCCCAACGTAAGATCCTCCTAAATCTACATATTTCACACTTGGATCCTATAAAAAGTGCAGACATTATAGATTTCAGTTTTCTCACTTTTAGGACTAAGTCAGTTTTACTCATTTTGTTATATAGACTTAACATATTTGATTTATGAATTACTTTTCAGTTCTGATCTACAATGTTATTTGCTTCTTATCAGAGGTTATTATCAGTTCAAGTTTTTTTGTTCTTTTTTTAGTTTCACGCAAAGCTACAAAAGGGCTATAAGATTTGCACTAGCCGTATCTAATTTAGCAGTAATAGATTAGAAGAAAGGCAGCTAGTCAACGTCACCCACCGCCAACTCTTGGGCTACTCTTTTACCAACGAATAGTGAGATTGACCATTACCTTATAACGTACCCACGGCTGAAAGGGCGAGCATGTTGGGTAACGGGGATCGAACCGCTAATTAACTAACTAGCGAGTCGATTGCCCTAACCACCAGGCCATATCAGGCCTTCACTAATTCAAAAAACTAAACATTCTGTTTATGGCTATTGTAAGACTGATGATTCTAAAAAGACATTGAGGACATGTTTTATCTAATGTTGGGCTAGTTCTGTTTCATTTTCATTTCCTGTAGAATATAATATAAAACACGTTTGTGCCCATTGAAATATTTATTCAATATATATATTGTAAGACCAATCATTCATCTGATCATACTCACATATAACAGCGATAAACTACAAATCATTTCTATGATACATCTTAGCTACCAATACATCTGTTTTATCTTATAATATACATATATATAATTACATATGATCACATCGAATTTCATTTAAACTGAAAGCGCTGGTAAGACGAAATACTTCACTGGGCATAAATTTTCTTCATGGCAAAGTGGAGACTGTTCTCAAATGACAGTTATGATACTACTTATCAGCTGTTATAAATAATCATTTCATTTTGTTTTCTATTCGGTTATATATATATATATACGTTAAACATATTCCACCGAAATGATCACCTATATATCGGGCCCG